ATGGACTACTGTTACGAATATTTATCGATAAACGATAAACAGGTTTGCGTGTGCGTAACGAATTTCTGGCGTCGATTCGATTGCTAATTGCGGATATTGATATTATTTTTCGGTGTTGGAACAAATTTGATATTTGATGCGTCGGCGCTGACTTCTGGAAAGAAGATCGCCTACGAGGCAAGCTTCCCAACACCTTACAGTGTCGCGACAGACTGCACCGAATGAGGTTGTTCCTTGTTAACGAAACCCATACGTAATCACGCTGCGTGATGCTATTCATTAGAATCTGATTAAAACAGTTTGTACCACGTGTACGCATAGACTCAGACCAGTTTGTCCTTAGAGAAATTTCGAAGAAACTATGTGTTCGTTGTTAACGGAAGAAAAATCATTTTAGAGCGTGAAAAATTGAAGGGACGTTTAACGAAAATATAACATCAAGTTATTTTAACAGTTCCGACGCTGTTCGCAAATATTAAACATTTAAATACGTTTTATGCGGTATTGATAAAATGTTGCACGAAAAGTGAATTATATCGTACGATTCGCATCTAAATATTTGATATTTTAACGTTGCAAATAATAAGGTATTATTTGCAGTTTTCGATATTTGAAAAAGATTTATCTGGTGACATTTTTTTTTAAACGTGGTGCACGGTGTGATGTATAATGTGTTCGGCAATTGTGCGAGTGTGACAAACTGTGCATTCAGTTCAACGAGATATATACATGTATGTACGTGTAAAATATTCAGCAAGTTCAAACACGGATCTAAACAAAGCAAGTATGGACGATGGTATTTGTAAGTATGCTAAATGATAAAATTGCACGATCGTTGCGTTCTTCCAGTTGTAGTAACAATCACGATGCGTTTAGATTCGTCGTATGATAATGTACCTATGTCTGAAATTGATCGAATTGGTTGAAGAATTGAAGACCTGACGCTGTGGGAGGTCCCCGATACGGAGATGTAGACGCATTTCCAAGAATTGCACTAATCTTGTTACGTCTCGTTTCACTCTGCCTTTTAAAACTACGAATTGTGGAATATGAAGTTTCAACTGGTATAAATATACAAGATAATTGGATGTTTAAATATAACAGATGTTTGTTAAAAATATTTACCTTGTATCGATTCAATTTTCGTTGTTGAATTTTTTATTCACATATTAACGTTAGACCTTTCCACTCTTGTTGCATTAGTTTCAATTATATCGGTAGAAAAAAACTGGGCCTGAAAAATAGTGAACGTTGACAATAGGTAGAATCTAAAATTCGTATTGCGGAGCTACACACACGACCCACCTCTCTCTACCTGTTCCATTCGAGAGAGTCTACTTCTTTCGATTTCTGAGATCCTGTTTACCTGTGATACATTGGGCCTTACGGTCTGCAAGGAGGAGCCCGAGGGCCTGTTTCAGTGCCCGTAGATCGTAATATTTCTATGCTCCTTCGAAACTGGAAACGATAATCAATTCTTCAAAGTATTTTATGACCATTAATAAACGGCTATTTCCCCGATAAACAATTTCCTGCCTCTCGTAAATTTTCCTATGAGTTATGCAAATATTATACGATTGTAAAATTTTTAACGTTTCATAAACGTGCGGTAGTCGTCTAAACTATTATTATCCAAGTGATGTTTAAATTTGCAATTTCTCTTTTTTCTCTCTCCACTGATTACCGGTGTAATTGTAATTTTCAATCAGCTCGACCGAAATTTTCACATTTCTTTCATTGTTTCCCTACGTGGACATCAATAAAGTCCCACGATATGTTAGGGAAAGGGAGAGCCCATCCGTGGGTAAAAGAGAGGAGGAGACTATTTGTAAGGTAAAAGTGAGACAGAAAGGAAGTGTACATCGCTAGAGGGCGGGTACGAGTGGGGGAAGTTGGGCCTTACTTGTTCGTACTCCGAGGTTGCCAGTTCGTTTCGAGACTCGGCCGGTGTGTAGTCTGTTTGGCGGTTCATTGACGTTCGCATGAAAGTGAGAACGTCTGTCAGTTTTTCTTCCTCTTGTTGTATTTTCGGCTCGAGCGAATCATCTACTGTTCATTTGTGTTCTTTCGATCTTGTTGTCGCCGAATACTTCGTTTTCTCTTTCTGTTTCGCCGTGCTCCGATGCGTGTCCTCAGCGCCAACAAGCTACGATACCGTGGTCTCACGTCGTCCGAGTTTCGATCGCGGCAAAGATCGTGAAGGCTCGAAAGAAACGCCATCGTCGGTGAGAACGAGGCAAACAACGGAGAGAGGCAAAAAGAGAAGGAGG